AGCAGGAATTCGTCATATCTAATAGGACATGTACAAATTGGTACAGAATTATTTATTTCTGAAAAGAAGAGCCCAACACAAATTAAGATATCAGTGTGTCACCAGCCCTTCCGAAGAGCTTGGATAGGCTTTGTAAAAGCAAGTTTGGAAGTGTGTCATAAGGAGAGCTATCTAACAGCAGAATACTTCTGGAAATGTTTTTACTGAGGGCTTGACTAAAGAGCAATGAAATATAAAATTCTTACCTCTTCTGTCAGAGTTACCTGCAAAAAGAAGAAAACAAAAGTCCTTTAGCAACAAAGAAATCTACATTTTAATATGTCAGGAAGGATCAAAGACCAAGACAGTTACAAATTTAGTAACTCTCATCATCCTCTCGTAAATCTTTCCTTTAAAAAAACAGCTACAAAGCCAGGATGTTAAAATGAGTTTCAGCCTTCACTTAGTAACAAGGAAAAAGGAACAACCCCCAATGTTTTATCAGCAGAGCAGGGAGCTGAAGCCGAGCTGTAACATAGATACAGACAACGCTCTTAATCGATAACACAGTCTGTTTAACCCTCTAATGAGCAAGTCACTGGTGTAACTGATTCGCGCTTAAATATTAAGAGATAACACTCGTGCATAATTTTAAAAGAGTGGCTGAGCCAAGAGTTCAGTTAAGAGCAGCTGGGCTCAGGGATGGGGATCATGAGCATCCAAGGAAAGCCTCTACTCCCTGATTTGGATGTCTCATCTAGAGGAAACCAGAACAAACCTGTGCTGATGAGAGCACAGCCCAGCTCTCCTGCTGCAATGCTGCTGGCACAGGCAGCCCCCACCACGCTGTTACGTGTTTAGAGCTTCAGGGGCTGAGGACAATCTTGGAGAAGCAGGAACTGCCTGCACAACATGTGATTCATGCGGTGCCTTCTGCCCCGTCCATCAAGCACCACTTAATTCCTTCACAACTGATATCCAAATTTCCCATTAAGACTAACGGCAAGGGCAGCCCTAAAACTAATTTTGCTCCTTGACAAATTACTTGAAATAAAGAAAGAATCAGGTTTTGTCATTTTTCTCAGGACTGACATCAAGTGAGAAGCCACATCTGGCCTTGATGGTGCAATGGGCAACGTGTCATAGCGTACACTGAGGGAGTTCATCAAGAACAGTAACCCAAGTCATAAAAAAAGTAGCAAAGACACCAAAATGATAAATTCAGTCCCCCGCTAGCAGACATCGTATTACAAAATCCAGATCTCAGCAGTACTTAAGGCTTTTGCCTCCACCACTCCCATTCGAAGGCTACGTTTATCCTAAACTTGCACCACGCGTGTATCTAAGGTTTCTCTTGACTCCTTCACCTTGCAAAAAAGCCGTGAGAATTTGTGTTTGAAAGGAAGCTGGATGAGCTCAGGGATGACAGGACACTATGAAAGCTGGGTTGCAGACTTCCTTCAGCCACATCCCTTCCTATGTTGCGAGCAAAGACAACTTCTCTGCAGCTTCACAGGCGGCAGTTGTCAAAGATGCACAGAGGAAGAGGGCACATACATCCCACTGATGTGAAGAGGGGTTCAGATACCCAACACCCAATATCCCTTGAGAAATTTATTCTTAAGGAATGCACGCTTGACGTGTCCCTGCATTAACTCCAGTATTACCTTCTCTCAGGCTCTTCTACCGCACCACCAAGTTATCCCTCCTGTTTTTCCACTATATCTGATACTGGCCTGTATCAGCAATAGTGTGTGTGGCCAGCGGGAGCAGGGCAGGGATCGTGCCCCTGTGCTCGGCACTGGTGAGGCTGCACCTCGAATCCTGTGTTCAGTGTTGGGCCCCTCACTACAAGAAGGACGTTGAGGTGCTGGAGCGTGTCCAGAGAAGGGTAACGGAGCTGGGGAGCGGTCTGGAGAGCAAGACTTATGAGGAGCGGCTGAGGGAGCTGGGGATGTTCAGTCTGGAGAAGAGGAGGCTGAGGGGAGCCCTTATCGCTCTCTACAACTACCTGAAAGGGGGTTGTGGTGAGGTGGGGGTTGGTCTCTTCTCCCAAGTAACCAGCGATAGGACGAGAGGAAATGGCCTCAAGTTGCGCCAGGGGAGGTTTAGGTTGGATATTAGGAAAAATTTCTTTACCGAGAGAGTGGTCAGGCATTGGAACAGGCTGCCCAGGGAGGTGGTGGAGTCACCATCTCTGGAAGTGTTCAAAAAATGTGTGAATGTGGCACTTCAGGACATGGTTTAGTGGGCATGGTGGTGCTGGGTTGGTGATTGGACTTGATGATCTTGAAGGTCTTTTCCAACCTTAATGATTCTGTGATCCTGTGATGCTGTGATCCTGCACTGCCAAAGCTATATATGTATATAACCTATAGCACTATAACCTCTAGCAGGCACTGCTATGTAACTGTTGCAACTCAGAGGCACATAGTATCAAAGCTGGGTCTGAAACCATGCAGCAATGGGGAAATGGTGGCTGAAGAGTCACAAATCAGCTAAGATTTCTGGTCACCTCAGCCTCTTTTGGCCTGATTTTTGCTCTTAACCTACATTGAGTGGCCAAAATCTACATTCTTAGGGGCCACTTTTATGATGTGCCAAATGGGGAGTGACAGCAGGATGGCAATAGAGAGAACTCTTGCTTATCTAGACCTTTCAAAGATTAAAGTAGCCCAAGTAATGGGGAAAAAAATGATAATGTAAGCATAGAATCACAGAATGGTTTGGGTTGGAAGGAACTTCAAAGATCATCTAGTCCAGCTCTCTGCCATGGGCAGGGACATCATTCACTAGATCAGGTTCCTCAAAGCCCTGTCTGACCTGACCTTGAGCAATTCCAGGGATGGGGCATCCACCTTATCATCGGATGTGCCAGCAAATGCAAAACTGAGACATCCAGCGCATGGAATACTCTGCTCAATAAGGTCTCAATGTGTTGCTCCTGGCGTTCATCACAGTGGAGAGAATATCTTCAGATGGTTTATCAGATTATGTGTATCTCCTGTCTGCAAGCAGTTTATCAAACATCGGGTGGAGCATACAGATTACTCTACCAGCTGGGCCAGCACCATCCTACCACATCATCCTTCATCCCCAGCTTGGCTAATTTTGGATAATGCACCAACTTACCAACTTTCCCCAGGAGCTAGATCTCACCCCTGGTTGGCCACCTCTATTCTAAGCCTTAAATTCTTTGGGATAGGGACTGCCTTGTTGTGTGTGTGCTTGTACAATGCCAAAAAGCATGGCCTGAGCCCATGGTGGCTACCAAAATACAAATAAATGCAGAAATGCTCTGGATAACCCAGGGTCTGCAGCTGAGCGGCAACTCGGAGTGATTTATTGCTATTGCCTACACAGACCCGTTACGGATCAACTTTTCAGCCAGCACCTGGGAGCTGTGCAGCCCTTGCCCCGTTTCACACTCCGGAAACCACAAAAAGTGATGAAATTCATCAAAATGACAAAAGTGGAACGAGATCCTAGGGTTGCTGGTGCCCCTTGCCTTGGCAAGAAGCCCAAACTTTTGGTAGGGTAAACCTCTTCTGATCTGGTCACTTCAGGGAGTTGTATTACTTCTTTCACTGTGGAATTTGCCCCGAAGTGTCTTCTCATTCCCTTTTGTTCAGCAAAACAAAAGAAGAGCAAAGAAACAAACCCAGAGGCAGAGTGGCCTGGAGAAGAAGAGGTGAAGGAGATGCCTACCATTGTGGGCAGCAGAAGAGGTCTCTTGCGTTGTCACCATCGCACTGAAATTCCTCTCCGTCGCCTCTGCTTCTGTGCTGGGGAGAGCAGTGTGCGGAGCAGACGGCGTCACGCTGGGTAGCAGGGAGGTGGCTGGAGGCATGGGCACAGTTGTCCCCAGGGTGGAGGTGTTGAGGCTGGCAGTGGTGGTGTTGGGGGAGATCCTGGTGGCTGTGGTTGTAGGTGGCTTTGACACCATGGTAGAAACAGTCACTGGAGTGCTAATGTTGAGGCTGTTTGCGCTCGTCGTAGTCCCATCTTCAGGACGTGCTGTAGAAGCTTTGGTGGGGCTCCTGGGAGAGGTGGGCACTGTCGTGGGTGGCTCTGCGAGAGGAGAAAGCACGAGGGAACCTCCATGAGATACCTTTCTGCAACACTGGAGGGTTTAGATGCTGCAGATTTGCACAAGTATAACTTCAAGGATAAAACAGCCAAAAAATCCCAAGTCCAAGACAGGGAATGCTTTGTACAGCACAGTTATTCACACCTTATAAAAGCAGGTAACTTGGATACGTATTATGATATCGAGAAGGTACAAAGGTTAGATCGCCTGAAAGAGAAGATCAATATTTGCTAGAGGTAAAACCTGCAGGTCCCATTTATGAGCACCTGCAGCCCTTCACTCTCTTTTAGACAGTTCATATGAGCTAAGTGGAGGGCAGAAGGGCTAAGCCACTGAGCACGTGAGCACTTACTCCTTTGGTCCTAAAGACGGTTTAGGGACAAAAGAGAGGAGACAATGAGCACGGTTTACCTGTCGTAACGTTGTTAGCACCTACGCTTATCAGGCCACTTCCGAGCAAAAGGAGAAAGAACCACAAATCCATGTTGACCTGGGGAAAAGAGCAAAGAACAGTTATTTAAACCTTCATGCAACATCATCCCAAAGTAATTCAAACCGGGGACACCACCATGCATAGAGCTGGAAGGGAGGAGTGAACGTGTGGCTGGAGTCCCTGCAGGCATGTGGATGGGAAGCATTTATTGGTATGTTCAAACGTTCCCAACTGCAGGGCATATGGAGAGATCCCAGTCTGGTGGAGCAGCAAAATTGACCAGAGCTGAAGCAGGGAATGGGTGAATTGTGGGAGAGCACAAATGAAACGAGCTATGAAGCTGACCACCAAAGAGAAGTACCTGGTCTTAAAGAAAATTAATCACGTGTTCATGTAACGGTCTGCAAATGAGTGTATTTTGAGCAAACTGAAATGCAATACACGTGAAGACCACAGCAAGGAGCCTTGATCCAAAATGCCCAGGAACTGGAGGCAGGGAAGGAGGAGAGGGCACCTCCTCCGGCGGGCAGTGCCCAGTGGATCCCCGCCAGCTCACCGAAGCCCCTGCCTGTTACTGGCACGGGCACAACGCCCGCGCAAGGCCAGGCTCAGCTCCATTCCAACCCCCTCAGACTCGCTCCATGTGCAGGCGAAACAAATACCCGTAAATAATAACCCAAGATCATCCGCAAGCGCGGGCTGCACACTGACTGTACTGTACGCTTCTTCCCAGGAAACAGCCTGCAAAATTACAGGACGGTGACATCAGCTGAGCTGTTTCCCCCAGGCTTTCTCCCCCCGGCCCTTTTAAATACGAGGGTTTTACGGTGATTTCTCTCCTCTGTAGACCTCAAAAAGCTCCTGAGAGATGGGTATCGTTATCTCCTCCCAAACAGACACGGGTCCAGAGGCTGAGGCAAACGACAGTGAGATGTGAGACGTCATCATCCTGGCCAGAAGAGAGCCCAAAACTGCCAAGGCCCAGACCCCAGGGCCTCCCAAGGACGGGTCAGCATCTCACAATCTGCTACGAGCCCCGAGAGGGCTCACAAGACAGCTCTGCTACGTGCCATGGACCGGCAGCTGCCGTACGACTCTCTCCCGTCCTTCAGGCTTCTGTCACAAGGCCCGTCGCATCTTCAGCACCTCCTGGGAGAAGGCTGCGAGACCTTGCTGCCAAGACAACTTGTCACGCTGCCAGAAAAGGGTTTTATTCCCGATACACGGTCTAAGCCTCCCGCTCTTAAATACATCTCGTGTTGTTTGTTCTCACTGTATTTATTTAAATTTGCTTCACCCTAGACCCATCCCGAACTCTGGGCAAAAGGACAACACTGAAGTCATCAAAGCTCTGGAAACAATATCAGAAATACAAGATCCTCCCCACCCGGGAGTATCCTCTCACCAGCACCACCCACTTACATGTTTTTCCTCCCCCCCGAAAGAAAACCTGGCAAAAATCGAACTTACTCAGTGACCAAAAGGTCAGACAAACCCTGAACCAGAAGGAAACCAAGCTCCAGAGATAAGAGCTTTCCCTCGGCTCCCTCTGCAGCCAGCCCTGCTGCTGCAAGCAGGACAGGGCTTTCTCCAAGGGGTCCCACTGGTGTCGAGCGGCCAACTTTCCCGAGGGTTTTATCACCGGTTAAAATATCTGTCTGGATGCATTTGAACTGATTTGGTCCTCCTGCTGCTGGTGAGAGGGGGGCTGGTCCTGCAATGCCTCCCTGAGGCTCTGCTCCAGGGTGGGACGTCTGGAAAACCCACAGCTAGGGTTTCAATGGCACGCTCCGCTCCTGGTGCTTGTTGAGGCCAATCAACATGCAGTCACACTCTGGAGCCGAGATCGTCCTAAGCCAAAGAGGTTTTCCACCCTCACAGTGTAGGAAAGGGAGCTCGTGTCCCCGCCATGTTTAATGGCAACTGGGAAGCACAGGAAGATGTGCCACCAGCGAGAGCGAGAGCAGCTCGCTGCGGGAGGCAGAGCCCCCGAGCATCCCACTGCGGGAACCCACAGAAATAGGGCGCTCATCGCGCCGGGACCCATGTGCAAAGGCAGAAGGACCCTGAGCCCACGCTGAATGTCCGGCAGATGTAACGGCGGTGCTGAGGTGCTCCTGAAGCCTCGCAGGGGCTGACACCAGCGCCGAGCTCTCACCATCGCAACCGCTTCCCTTGCCTGCAACCCATCACTGCCAGCAAGAACACAAAAACAAGGTAAAGAACCTGGCTCTTCTGCAAACACTACTAGGAAAACAAAGTGACTGTTCACTGTGTTTTGATAAATATTTGCATAGAAATGCCAGTCTTGCAGGTTGGTGTGGCTCCTTCCCTCTTCCCCCAACTCATTTCTCAAAATGGGAGTTCCCATTCATTTGGGATCCTGTTCATTTGGGATTCCCGTTCTTTTAGGATTCCTGTTCATTTGGGATCCTATTCATTTGGGATTCCCACAGCTATGCCAGAGCTAGCTCCGCAGCAGCAGTTTGCCCCAAGAGCAGACAGCTGAGTCGCTAATGGAGATGCTCCCACCATGCTGGCATCCTACCGGCTCCTCACATGCAGATCTTCCACCTCATTGCATGGCCCATCATTAACTGACCACTGGAAAACCATATAGGTCTTAGTATCTTCCAAGCCTTTCTTAATGGCCTCAAGGATCTTTTGAGCTGGCTGCTTCAGCTCTTGCAGCACACCTCAAATACCAGGGGAATGAACTTGCTCATGGTCACTCAGCAAAGTGCTGGCAGAGCTGGGACTGGACCCCAGGGGACCCAGTTCCTCTCCCGTCTGTGGTCCCTGCAGTCCTTTCAAGAAAGTTAAGGAAGGAAAGACTGATGGGTTAGCTCATACGGACCCCACACCCATTCCCTAAGGCCAACAGCTGAAGGTCCCCTTGGCCCCTGAAGCTCTTCTCCCCATCCTAAACATACTTTCCCTTGGTATCAAAAGCAGGACATGGAGGGTGGGTGGAAAGAAGTGAAAGCTGTGAACTTCCTCGTCTTTCTGCCCTCCGTCATGGGGAAGTAACCCACATACAAGAAAAGAGCTTGGCTTTATCTCCATGACCGTGATTGCTATATGGATGCGAGCTGAAGGCGATTCCTGGACCAGCCATGGGTACCAGTTTACAAAACCCCTTTGGGGCGGTGAGATGATCACAGAACCACAGAATAATTTAGGTTGGAAAAGACCCTTAAGATCACCAAGTCCCTCCTTCTCCGAACCGGCAGTACAGCTCTGATGCCCTGGGATTACATCAGGAGGCAGGCAGCTGCCTGCCTTTACAACCCCTTTGGTATTATGTTTAATGAGTTCATTGATCCTTGAGTGGATTGCATTAGGAGGATACAGCTGGCCAGGGGTGAGAATACCGAATTTCCCCAAGCTTTGCCCTGTTTTCATCAAGAAAGCTGGTGCAGGCTGTCGGTGCGGATGCTGGATAAGCTCGACGCAGTTTTTCCGGCTCGAGGACTGTGAATGTCAAAAGAAACAGGACGCCGGGCAGCCCCGAGAGCACCGGGGCTTGCTGGGCAGCTCGTTACACAGAAACCCCGGGGGC